ATCGTCGATGTCGAGAAGCTGTCCTCACCACGTAACAACCCAGCAGAGATGACGACCCGTGTTCGCTGCTCCAGCTCCAGCTCCGGTTTCGTACGAAGATACTCTTGCAGCTTGTACAAATGCATCTCAGTCGCATTCTTCCACTCCTTGAGCTTCGCCACTTTCTCCGGGTCTGTCGTTCGTCGTCAGGCACCCGTGATACGTTGCAGGGTTAGTGACTGACCGGTAGGGACATCGTCTGCCATGAATTCGGTTGGAATAGGCAGATCCTTCGACAGGAGTTCGATCGCTTCATCGAATGCGTCGATAGTCCCCACTTCTGGTCCCTTGGATATCTCTTCTATGATAGGCATATTGGGATATCAAAGCTGTCGAAGTGGAACGTCGAGGACGACCGTCGCCACATGGTGTTGGTCACGAACCAAGGGTCTGATGCGACGAATAAAAAATGAGAATCGATCAGTATCCTTTGCACCTCAACCCTTCCCCCTCGACTTATGCAGGGATTATAACTCTAGGCCAGACTACAAGGGAGCCACTGTCTTGTATATTACTGGGGAGTAAAGCCATCTCTTTGTTGTGTCCGTCCTCTTGTACCAGGGATACGGTCTCCATCGAACTTCTCCGGGATGCTCGGTGTCTGTCTGGGTGGCCCACCCACCTATGAGGTCCATCAATGGTTCAACCAGTCTCTTGTGCTTCTTTGGCGAACGGTTGTGTAACTCATGTTTACCTACTTTTCCTGGCCATTGGCTTTCGAATCTTGTCATCAATTAAGCTATGGAATCTGGACATGAACTCGGCGGCGTCGAGGCTTCTCCTGCCCGATATGATGCTGGTCACCGTTCATATCCGAATTGGGTGAAAACCAGAAGACTTCCCCTTCGATGCTACGATCTTCCGGATCCATGGGAGTAGTACGTCCTTCCACGTCAAGAAACAAACACACTTGTTGGTGATGACACACCGACGTCGTGGTTGAGCAATGCATTCTCAGTTCTTTGCTTGAATCGTGTAACATCTGGTCTCTCTCCATGTCCAGGTATGTGAATGATCCCTGGCACAGAGAATTTGCACCTTCTGACTCGCAAAATCTCCCCAGCCCTCCCACTGCAGGAACGCGAGTTCTGTTCCGTACTGGGATCCGCAGACAGTTGCAATGCGAAAGCAAGACAACCCTATGTAACCTTTCATACGTTGACGACCCATTTTGGGGCATCATTCCAGAACTCAAGACTATACGCTCCCCCGCCCGTAAATCTCCCAGCTACCTCGGCCACCCGACCACGCTCGACGTCGACTGCCCGAACACATACTGTACTGTGGACACAGAACGGTGACTCAATCGATACATTTGGCAGTATTTCTGAACACTCTCGCGCTCTGACTTCGGCGAATGGATCACAACGTGGTGCGACAGATCATATCCCAGAATGCAACTCGACTGCGGTTGACTATTCCTGTCACAAGCAAGAGTCGTCAAGTTTGTTATCTTGGTTTCGATGCATATTCTCCCCCTTCTTCACTCCATCTAGACCCGGAACGCTTCAACTGCTAGCTGCTACGAGGTCGGAATCTTCGGAGATATCTGCGTATAGAGACTCTGATTGCAGGAAACCCTCTCGATCCTCGGACGAAAGATGAAGGGCTCTCTGAGATGCGGCTGGAGAAGCCTCCTGCTTTTTTGGGACTTGGAAACAACAGTAACCAGTGATTTTGATCTCTGCCCGGCCCCTCTCTCACAAAGTGGCCTATGGAATGCCTTCACTGGATGCGTATCTCCTTTGTAACTGCCATGGGTATGTGGCAGGCACCGTAAGATATTTCCAGGAACGAATGTATGCGCGGTCTAACCGATTCTCCATTACTGGCCCGCCGTGGCTGATCTCTCCAGTCGTCCATGTATGTCACTGGGCCACAGACTGTTCTCCCCCGCAATATGGTACGTCATGGTAATGAAGTTACTCTGAACTGTGTCTCGTTATGCTTGAACTATGATCAAAGTTTGTCGAGGTGTCATCCCACTAGTTGCATCTAACAGCGACTAAAGTCGGGTGCGGATAGAAATATTTGCAGTGAGTTATCCTGCCACCTGCGTGAACCGCTCACGTCTCTGAGATCAGTGACCAGAGCTTGTCATGAGCGGTGGACAATGGAATATGCGGTCTGTGCAACGGGCCACCTCCTTTCGATTGCCGGAAGCCTGTCAATCTCTTCTGTTCCCAAATGGGATATCACGGGTGCCTGGGCCAGCGAGTGAAGAAGTTGTTGGCTACAAGTTCCGGACGTGTGCGCTCGAAGGGGGAATTTTCATACTGCTGCCGAGTATCTAGCCGCGCTCACATCCAACAGCTCAGTCAGGACCCCATGAGATGACTTACCTTTGGAAGTATGAGCGTAAACACAGAATGTATCAGAAATGCTGATATTGGAGTGACACAGTGGACATTTGTTGCTAACCGAAAAATCCCCCGGGTATGGTACCGATCTTACCAGCGGCGCTAGTAAATCATTTCATTCAATCAATGAGCAAGTCAAGTCGATTATCCTCGCAGGTGGGAGTAAAAGTATAATATCATAAGGTTCCCATCAAGGAAGCAACCGTAAATCGCTTTCTGTTCATTGACAAGGCTGTGCATGTGATATGAAAGCTGTAGTATGGGCATCAGCTCACCTGTCAAGCTCGTTTCTCGGCCGAATGAATGGGGATGGGCGGATGTTTGTAATGTTAGGTGAGTTCGATGAATGGTGCCTGCGGTTATTGAGGACGGGACTGCGAAGCGTGGCACCCGGGGACAGATGAAAACTGAGGCAGAGGGCGGAAGCTTCGACAGAATTCAGGTGGAAACTGCCGATACCGGTGATTATAATCTGGACGCGCCGGAATGTAGAAATTCTTCTCAGAACACTCGTGAATGTTGAACTCTGGATCACCTCACCGTTCATGCTATACGATATGTACGATGTTGCTAGCCTTCTCACCGAACGGACAGCGAAACTGCTGACAATAACCTCATTGAAACGAATTCAACTGCCCCAGAGGTACATGGTATCGAGATAGGCTGTCACATTTCATAATGGCCACCCGCCGATTAGTATGATCGAGGCACGTTCGAGCCAGCACACAGTTTAAGAATGTTCGAGAGATAAGGTCACATCGACGAATTTCCAATATCCTGCACATTGGCTGGCTCGTATGACCAGAAGCCCCCGCAACAATGATCAGAGAGTGTCATTAGCTGCCACCGCGCTGCTCTTGGTCATTCTCTTCCAGACAATCCGATCTGCCAAATGGAATTACTCTGGATTGTTGGCATCAACAAGCAACATTGAACTCTGAAGGATTCCCGCCCAAGTCCGTCGGTTGCGGAAGAGGTCGACGAATCCCGCTAAAGCCAGAGTTGCTGTGCCTGCATAAGGCACCGAAGCCGCAACTGGGGGAGGATGAAACGCGAAATCCGGAAGCGCGAAGCCAGGCGTACAGACGCGATCGCCGTGGGGAACCGCGGGAAATTGAGGATGCGGGCGCTTGTTCACGCTCGCGTGGTCTGGCCACATTCAGTATGAGATATCGAGATATCACACCAGCAGTCAGTTGGTGCACAAGTGCCGATGTAGATGTCGCATACATCAGTTCATACCTGAAATTTGTAGTGCTGGCCCAAGGCGAATGCACCACGTAGTGCCAGAGTGCCAGAGTGCTGCTGGAACATTGGGTGGCAGAGCGCAGTAGCACGAGATGAGGCAAGTAACCCACGAGGAGTAGTGCGTCAATATGAGCGTCGATGAGTGGAGCGTGCGTTCGGATCCAGCAGCTGCTACGATTGGTCCATCTTCATCGACTCTCTGGTTCGTTTGGTAAGAACACGCGGGAGCAAGCGGCCACCGCATGTCCCCCCGCTGATTGAACAAGCGGGCCACGTTTCGGGGCAGTGTGATGCGGCATAGACCAGCCGGTGAATGAATAACACGGGGGGAGGCTGCAGGAATGACGGGGGAACAAAGAGCGCAGAAAGCGGGTCGGGGGATCATCGCCGACAAATGATGGTCACAGAGCGAAAGATATAGCAGAACTCTGGGTCGATTATTCGGACATTCCCCGGGCTATTGATATGGAAATTATGTCTGCCGATGGCAAGGAGACGCACCAAAGCGGGAGATGACAACGACGGGACCGCATGCGGATTGCAGGGCCAATTTTGCGCCATAACGAGGGCAGAAGACGGTGAGAAGACTAGGGAATACTGACGGGTGTCGGTAGGTTGGAGATGAATAGGAAGATGGGCGATGCAGAAGGATGGGGACTGCGAGGCACACGCCGCGTGTTAAAATATGACAAAGTTCGGCGGCCGTGATTGGGTAGTTAACGAGGAAGAATGCGGAACAGGACGAAGATTCGAGCGGGTGGACAGCTGACATGACATTCGTGTTGGCACAGAGGCAAGAGATGGGTAAATTTACAACGTACAACCGTGGTTGACAATGGATTGTGCTAACGAGGACAGGGTCATGGGAAATGATTGGACGAGATAGGGGTGAAGAAGTTTGTACCAAAAGCGGGTCCTTACCCTTTAGGGCGCGGCAGGGCGCGAAGCCGACCGCAATCATTCGTCTGTTTCCAACCCCTTCGGAAAGCGTACGTTCGACAGGGACTAGAGTGCAACAACTTACCTTTTGAACGGACTTTCTCTGCACGAGCCTAGGCTGCCTACCCTTACAAGGAGCCAACTTTTTGACCGGGCATGCAGGAGCCCCGCCGACCCGCCGGCTCGGCTACATGGCAAGTCAATCTACAAACCTGCCGTTGGGAGGGGAATCACGCGCCGGTGCTTTGTTGGACGGACGTACGAGAACAGACAGACAGGACGCAGATGATTACCGGTCGGAGCGCACGTTTTATGCTGACGAAGGAATGGACACTTCATCCACGATCGATATCCAGCGACCCACGGTCACACGCGGATAAACTTACCAATCGCAAGACAAGATACATGTTGACCTCATATCGTATTCATCTATCTATCCATTTATCAAGCATCAACATCGGCGCATCGGGGTACGAAACCTTCTGCTAGAGCTACAGCCCTTATTCGTGCCTGTCTTCCCTGGTTGCACCGCACCCCGGGCGCACTCCGGGTAAGCCTATCCCCCTACGTGTCAGACTAGAAGTACTTGAATGTTAACTCTATCCGACGCTGCGAATATTCCGGCTAAACAACGCGTGCGGTACGCGTCCTCGATCGTCTCGTGATGTATTCATATGCAGGAAGACCTGGTGAACCGTCCTTACCCGAAGTGAACAGCAGCAAGCACAGCTAAACTCGCTTGGGCAAGATCGGGTGTGCTGGGTGTAACACCCAGACGAACCAAAGGACCAACCAGCGAAATAGCAGCATACACTCGTTCTCGTAACCTCACAGGCTCGTGAGCACCCGCGGCAGTTCGACTCGTTGACAGCGAACCCGGGAAGCACGGCAGAGTCAGTACTAGTGTGAGGTAGACCAATCCACGGGATTCTGGTCTTTCATCTCTTTGTCTGCTGATGGGTGAACGTGATTCCAACCGGTGCTTCTGGCGTGCGAACGCGAACAGTGTACGAAAGCGAGCGAAAAGTAGATGTGTAATGGTTGTTCCCCAAGATCTGCAAAGGTGGTACGACAACCTGCCACCGACATCGTCACAATCCCAATGTCAGTGCCAATCACAGTCGCGGTCCACAGTCTCACACTTGAAACGGATCTATTCAGCTGCAACTGCTGAAATGCTCCTTCCGGATACATGATAACCACGAGAACACCGGTCTGGCCATTGATATTATGATAATTGGGCCGTGCATGCACGGGGTGTGGGAATGTATCACAGCGCCTAATGCCAGCAGAAGGAGTTTCAAGAACCGCGGTAGGGGGGTTAGATCCGGGGGTCGAGGATGACACAGGAAGGAGACGATAGGAAAGGCGATACGAAATGATCGGAGGACGGTGAAGCGAGTGGGCTGGGAAAGATGATGTTTTGCTTTTGCGGCTCTGTGTTTGGGACCACCTGATGGTGTTACAGTATAGAGTAAGCTAGTGCTGCAACTTCTTGCACAGCTTGCATGTCCAACTGTCTCGCGGGTATCCAGCCAGACCGAAAACTGGTCGTGGGAGTGACCGGAGGAGGAGGAGCAGGAGGAGGAGGAGCAGGAGGGGGAATTAGCGGTGGGCGGATAGCCAGAGAAGGGCACGGAAGCGCCCGCGCCCCCGCGTCTAGCCCGTGCTCATTCCGAACGTTCTGGACTGGGCTGGGATTGGCTGAGAGTGGGATGGGCGGGTGTACTGGGCGAGACATGAAGCGGAGGATTATGTGAGCGGGTGCTTTCGGGTGCTTCGGGTGTTGTTGCGTGTTTTGGTTGGGTTGGGTGGGAGAGGATAGATCGGACTGCAGATGTACTAAAAGAAGGGAATGACAAATACATAGGATGTGGTAGGTTAGAATACAAGGCTCTATGCTGTAAACAAGGGAAAGGGAAGTGAACAAGGGGGGAAAGCCCTGTGAGGCTACAACGTCCAATGTGCAAGGGAGAGTAAGGGGGGCTTTGGGGGCTGGGCGGGAGGAGAAGGAGAGGGAAAGGGTCTTGTGATTGGATGGTAAGCGTCTGATGCGCTGCTAGTGGAGGTCCGGGGAGGGCTGGCGAGACAGCGTTGCGCGTGAGTGGTGAGTGCGAGTTGGAGGTGTGTTTGGTATGCGGTGGATGGTGTGCGATTTGGGATGAGATGGGATCATCTTAGGTTGATGGTACATTGGAATCGGACGTGGAACGTTAATTCCCGATGGTGTATATGACTGGACCCCGTGACACCCTTCTCTGCACAAAACACTTAAAGGGGAAAAAGGGACGTGAAACGGTTCTATGCATGTGAAAGTGAATGAGTGAAAGGAGTGATAAGCGGGAGCAGAAGAGAGAGATGGAATAAGGGACGGAAATTGGGGTGACTGGGGTCTTTAGTGGGCGCTAGAGAGGGGGGAGGGCGGGAGATGTTCGAGCGAGAAGGGAGAGAGAGTGGGAAGGGAAAGCGGGAGCACACACAACCCCTCTTGGGTGAGATATACTTTTATTCTCATCCTCCCTTTTACTCCTCCTCCTCCTCGACCCTTTTCCCTCTATTTCATCCCATTCTCCGCTCTTCCCTTTTCCCCCTTCCCCTTTCCCCCCTTTTCCCCCACACAGGGAACATAAGGTAACGCAAACCCTTGCTTCAACTTATATACTCCCTGGAACTCATCCATTCCCTCAAACGATGGACAGACTCGCTTCATCTCGCAGACCAGACTTGCCGCTTCTCCTCAACCCGCAACTACAACACACATCCTTCCCAAACTTTCCCCCTCCTCCACAGGCGAGCATGCACCCGCTAACTCAACAGCGCCCGCCTATGCATCCTCATCAATATTCATCCTCTTCAATTACTTCATCCACTACCTCATCCTCGCTACATACATCAGCAAGCGAAGACGCTTCCTCCCACTCATCAGCCTCACCACCAGGCATGCACCGACCCCAGCTCCCTCTTACCCTCCCTGCCCAAGCTGCAGGGAGAAGACGCTTCTGCTGCGGAACGTGCGGAAAGGACTTTAGCACCTCGGGACATCTGGCACGACATATTCGTGTTCATACCGGGGAGAGGAATCATCCATGCCCTTTTCCGGGGTGTAACGCCCGCTGCAGCAGGCAGGATAACCTTGTACAGCAGTACGTTTCCCCTTCTCCCCTTTATCTCCCCACTTTCCGTGTTTGGAGTAGCTCAGGCTGACTCTCTCCAGTTTCCGCGTACACATGCCCCGCGAAGAACGGCGAGCAAATAGCACCGCTGTCCGTGCGGAACTCCAAAAATGCCTCCAATCCGCCGGTTCCCTCACCGCCCCCTCGACAGAGAGCCTCTCTTCGCACGGAGCGACTCCGACGCCTATGCACCCTCACCCCTCCCATACCTCCACTCACCCCGTCAACCCGCGACATCCTACACCCCCTGACGATGGCTCCCGTTCCCCCTCCCCGATCGACAGTGTCCCACTCACGTCACCGGGGTTTGAAGACCACGGGCACTGGATCGACCCTGCCCAATATCCGTCATATAACAGCTATGTCCGCGCACCCCACCCCCAGCATCCGACGATGCAGCTCCCCCTTCCCGCCCCTTCCTTCCCTTACCAAATGCCACTCTCCCACCCACATCAGGCATATCATCAGCAGATCAGCCCCACCTACCCAAACCCGATGCAGCAGGGTTACCCGCCCCCGCTCTCCCCTAGTTCGGGGAGCGGGCTGGGAAGCTCGGGAACGTCCAATTCCCCCTTGACCCCAGGGTGGGGGAATACGAGCGCGGTAAGGGGCACCCAGCGCCCGCCGCAGGCACCACAGGGACAACAGGGCGCCTCGGCGCCTATGCATCCTGGAGTGCAGGGGACGAGTATCAGAGTGCCCCTTGGACCGGCTAGTGCACCTGCTACGGTGCCCCCGGCTGGACAGGCAGGGCCGGGGCAAGGAGGGGAATGGCCCTGGTATGGCTGGAAAGAGGGTGCCTAGGTGCTGGGAAGACATGATACGGGTAACGAAGACGTTGCCGCCTGTTTAGCGCTATGTGATGCTTTCCCTGGATGTGGGAAGTACGCTTAGGAGGGGGTGAGTGGGACGCGGGGCTCAATGTTCGGATTATGGGGTCAATGTTTCTTTCTTTCGGTTCACGAGTCCTTTTTTGTGCTACTTACTACGTGTCTGTTCTATTCTGTGCTGTGCTGTGTTCTGTTCAATTCTGTGTTTTGCTCTGCTCCCCCGACGGTTCCACTTCCCTTCGCTCTCTGTTCCAGGTATGACAACCAAGTACTGTACACCGACCCACCGAGCAATTTTTCCTCTCTCGTACATATGTCTCATGTTCACCAAGGCTCTCATGTCTCATGTTGGTCCATAGGAGGCGGTTTGAAACGAAAGAGCGGGTGGCATGGCACGTGGGGGTAAAAGGATTAGCCTGCCCCTGGGCAATGGGCAAGGGGTAATATAATCCGTAATCCATAATCTTTTGCCTAGGCCTATAATCCCATAATTCTCACTCCCATGTCCTTGTCCTATAATTCCCATTCTCCATCAAAAGCCTAATCGTACCCGATCGATGCGTGTCGATAATTCTGTGAACGCTAATGTATGTGGGAGAGTCTCAGGTGTCCACCGGTTGACAGCTCTGTTGGGTGGAGCCACGTTCATCGAGCTAAACTAGACTTGCAGAGCTGAAACATTCTATTACGTTTTCCTTTTCCCGTTCTTATTCTTATTTTTATTCGCATTCTGTTTTCTTGTTCCTAATTCGGGAGTTAGTGACTAGTGAGTGCTGTCAAGTGAGTGCGTTGCGGTTTTATTCAAACGACGATATCGGAGACATGGAAGAACATCGGGAGACCACTACCTTTGATTGAAGACAACCGTCCGCTAATGATAAACATAGTTGTGCGCCACACTCATAGTTTCATAAGCAGGCACGCGGGATCATCGCGGAATTGAGTTGAGTTGAGTTGAGTTGCCTGAACGGTAAACTCGTTGGATAAGGACGTCGGCTCGCCCGGATGCCGGACGGGAGGTTACCGTCCCGCCGGCGCGGGCGGTGTTAGAGCTTTTCGTCTTGCTTGGGAACGCTTGGGTGTCCCAGGGTCGTTGACCGGACAGGGAGCCCGGGGGAGGCGTCATGTCTGTACATATGCATGTCAGCTATGGTCTGTGCTGTTGGAGGTGGACTTGGAGAGACCGGAGAGCTTGGTGGTCTAACAGGATTTGTGTAATCTCCATTTGGAAGAAAGGCGAGGACGAGGATCCTCACCTGGTGGGGAATGACATGCCTGCAGAATGGTGTTGATAGATAGTGTCACACATGACCATCATAAGTCGACGGAAAGGGATCCGTTTGGGTCATGCATGTCCACTCGACAAATCCAGCAATGTGTCGTTCATAGGCGGGCAGGCGACGTCAGCAAACCAGAGAAAAGCGTTCATTCCCAAATGACCTCGTCCTGCATGCGAGGTATATGCGCCTAAGCTGGTGTCAGCTGACTGAAGCAGAGGGCCAAAATCAAAGAGCAAGTTATGGCAAGAGCATCTTATGTGGGCTGATGGCTGCCTTCGGCTTAGTCTGCAGAAGTGAGGAACAGTGCGCAAGTCAAGAGGAAAGGGTTGACGATATTCATTATTCTCGTCGCATCAGACCCTTGGTTCGTGACCAACACCATGTGGCGACGGTCGTCCTCGACGTTCCACTTCGACAGCTTTGATATCCCAATATGCCTATCATAGAAGAGATATCCAAGGGACCAGAAGTGGGGACTATCGACGCATTCGATGAAGCGATCGAACTCCTGTCGAAGGATCTGCCTATTCCAACCGAATTCATGGCAGACGATGTCCCTACCGGTCAGTCACTAACCCTGCAACGTATCACGGGTGCCTGACGACGAACGACAGACCCGGAGAAAGTGGCGAAGCTCAAGGAGTGGAAGAATGCGACTGAGATGCATTTGTACAAGCTGCAAGAGTATCTTCGTACGAAACCGGAGCTGGAGCTGGAGCAGCGAACACGGGTCGTCATCTCTGCTGGGTTGTTACGTGGTGAGGACAGCTTCTCGACATCGACGATGCAGCTGTCAGCAATGGGT